AGCACTTGCCGCACACTGTGCGGCATGACCACGACACGCCAAATCGCACCGAGCCCCGGTCCCAAACCCCAAACCACGAGCCCCGAGCCGCAAACCGTCCCGCTCTCAGTGCGTTGTCCTGCGTAACCGTGGAATGCTTGCGAAGTCGACGTCGACACTCGCAGAAACTCGTTGCGAGAGAGCTTCGGCTTCGCAGAAACTTTCGGACAGATTACAATACAACATACATCATCTCCCACAATATATACGATTATACGCATAGTATATCTTTCTTCCATGAAAATTAAAATATATGCGCGAATGAAAAAAATATAATTAACAAAGCCATATTACCGGTATGTTGGGTGTAATAAGATGACGATTAAGAAAGAATAATTACAACTGATAAGAAGTTGATCCGATCGAAAGATAAAAGGAGGACAAAAAGTCCTCGCTCGATAATTATTTAATTTATTTAATCGGTATACGTTACCTTGAGTTTTTAATCGCGCGTGCACTTTCGCACTATTATATTATATTTTATATTATTTCATTATTATATTATATTTACATTATTTATCTAAATTTTTATTTTTATAATTACACACTATTATTAGCCAGTAAATATCAATAATCTAAAAAAATAATGTATTATTTTTATCTTTCTATAAGAGATGATAATGTTTCTCGGTTTGATTACCACAGGCACTATTCTCAATTGACTCTCAATTGTTTGCTCCACACGATATAAAACTGGCGTGAAAAAAAGACCTACCTCGTGATTCTAATTAACAACCGAAAACAAATTAACTTTGCAATTGCCTCGCTGCTGTCCGTTACGTCATCGCAATGTTCGTAACGTAAACAACGATGATGTATTTGTGTATCGTTTCGTAATAAAAACCGGTGTTCGTGCGGTATCACCGCATTACGAACTATTTTACTGCGTTAGATATACGACAATGATTACCGCGCGCGTGCGATTATAATATTATTAATATAATATAAATATATCGTCCCTATCGCAAATTTTATATGTTTTTTTACGAATCAGCTGCTGCGCATTTTGCCTCGTGCCTCGTTGCTTCCGTTCAAGGTCGCCAGCCCGGTTAAAACACAGAACGTTCGTTATCTAATATTGCTACCATGTGCCATGCGCGCTTTCGAACAATCGGTACAATGACTTGCTCGAGGTCCTTCTTCGTCGTATCAAAGTATTACATCGATCTCTCTCACCTCCCCTACATTACCCACAATTCCCGAAAGATCTGTATTATGACATAAAGCTTGCGCAATTACTTCAACTCGTTTCTTACCACAGTCGCATGACACTCGTGTCACACTCTTGTTTCTCATAAAAAATATGCATAACAGTATTTTATATACATATATATAATTAACGTAAATGAATATTAATATTAATATTAATATCGTCATTAAAGATATACATATTATTATATTGAATGAAATTATACACATTGCTTCGAGTAGCAAGATGATGGATAATTTTCAAAATGTACCAAGAGTAAACGTATCAACTTTGACAAAGACAATAGTTATTAATTAATTATTAATCAAGTTTCGTTTAATTAACAATAATTAAAAATTGCTTTTGCATACACAATAGAAAATAATTATACGATTGACAATTAGAACAAAAAGTATAAGGTAATGTGTTAATTAAAGTTAAAAAAGCTTGCATTTGAAACAGACGATTTAATAGATGCTTGACGAATAAAGAGATATATATCTCTGACACACAGCATTCTTGAACTTTCTACGTCCGCTTGTTTAGGCGGTGAAAGCGAAAAAGAAAAAAAGGAGATCATCATACAGACAAGCCGGAATATCATTGTATTAAATGTAAACCACACACGATACATTTGTGGCTTTCGCATTGTTTTAGAAATTTTATGAAAATTCTTAAAATTTCGTTTCCTCGAGTTTTCTCATAGCTTTTATCGATTTGTTGAATTTTTTATAAATTACGGTTAATGCTCGAATTTAAATCTTGTTTGAGTAAAATTCACTTTGAATTTGTAATAAATGTGCGTGTTGAATAATAACATGTTATGTCTACCTATATATATATATATATTTGCTTCTTCTCTATTTATCATTCTTATCTATTTATATATACATATATAAAATCTTTTTTCTTCAAAAATTCTTTTAATTCAAAATTTATTCACTGTCATGATCCTCTTATTAAAGAAAAGGACTTTATAAAATATCTTTTAATGTGGACGGTGCCTGAGACATTTCACATCGAAAAAAAGACTCGCGTCAATACAACAAAGAGTTTAATTTAGACAGAGACTATATTTCTTTGTTCACCTTATGTAAGACGTAAACCGAAAGCAGAGAAAAATATTTGGGGCTCCACGGGACCTTCGCTCTAGTCGACAAACCCGTCGCTAGTCAATGTGAGCCACTCACGTCCCCATACCACGGTATTTTTCCTGCTCGTATATCTAGATTCCCACTTTGGAATCTTACACTTGTCAATATGGGTATAGTCTTTTCCGATTCTTATCTTTTGCCTAGTTTTTACCATCTTAGTCGCTCTGATAAATCGACCACGTGGATCATGCGCCGATGTGACACGACGTCACGAAGGAAGAGAAACAAGGCACAGAGCGCGGTGAAAGCGAAAGACGCGACCCTACCAATCGTTACGCATGGACCTACGTACACACGCACGCACGTATACGTACACGCACACGACACGGGCGCGCAGTCGTCAATGACGAGTAGGACGCGTATTGTGCAGTAACGTATCAAGTTTCCTTGCCATGTGTGGACACGATTCTTACTTTGCAAGTTATTTACGAAAATCGTTAGCTGGTTAACCTCGTTAATCTTTCTTTCGAGACGTTATTCTTTCATAAAGAATCTTTTTTTTACTTAATAAAAGATTTCTATCTTTCAAATCATTGTTCGATTATTCGATACATTTTTTTATCGAATCTCTTTGGACTTATGGATGACACACTTTATTTATGCATTGCGTTAAAGAGAGCGCAAATAATAAAATAAAATAAAATATTTGATTCATACATATTAAATGTATCACTATTCGTTGCTTTAATGTAATTGCCTCGTTAATTAATGATCAAAGTTAAATTTAATTCAAGTTATTCTTAGCTTTTTCCTAAATATAATATTGTAGTATAAAAAAGATGGGGAATCGGTTAAATTACAGTTTCAATTTTACGTAATGTGTATTTATCCCACAAAATATAATGTTTTGCAAAAATAGGGCACGATTTATCTGAGTAGAATCCTCTTTTCAGGAGCCGAATAAACGGGATGCTGATAAATGGAAAATTTGATCTACACCAAAAAATAGCTCGCAAAAGAGTCAGTATTAGGGAAGAGGCCGATATTATATAGGAGAGTTCCTCCGGTGTTTATGGATTTTGGTGAAGTATAGGGCCATGGGAACGCTTAACGCGATACTGACACGCAGCAGTTAGATTGGCGCGCGCGTGAACTCGCGAACGCGACGCACGTGTAGCGGTGAATCCATGATTGCGCGCGTCCGTAGGTCACCGCGTCCTTTACACCCTCCTTGTTGCTTCCTTCCCTTTGCGATTCCCTCTCGCTTCCTCTTTCCACCACCCTTTATCCCTTTAGTCATCTTTGTTCCTCGATCTCACGCGCTCTCTCTTTCTCTTTCTCTTTCTCCCCTTTCTCCTCTTTCTCCCCTTTCTCCCTTCGCAGTGGCGTATCGCGCGCGTAAATACTTCCAGAGAAATAATATTGTACTTTTAGAATAAGTAAAAATTTTAATGTGATATTTTATTTCCAGAAAATGTATCCTTTGACATATCTTAAATTTGTATGTATGTATGTGAGCGAAAAGCTTTATATACATGAAATATACTTTTTAAATAAATTTTCGTTTTTCAAATCGCTAGTTCTTACGCGCCATTAAAATGATTTGTCGCATGCCGCGACTTTATTTCTTCAAATTTGCTTTTGCACGTTTAATTTATATATATATATATATCATTTAGCTCTACTTCATATTTGACAATCGACATTGTCAGGTTTTTACTGGCTGAAAAAGAGATTATTTTCGTTAAAAAGAAACGCGATAGTTGTTTATGATGATAAAGCGTCGATTGATTAGGGAGGAATGAGCTTATCTCCTAAATTTTGAAACGTCGACTGCGGTCTGTGAGACGCCGCGCATGAATAGGTCAACAACGAATCTTTGATAAGCACTTTGTTTGGTCGGTTCGTTTGTACGAGTTTGTTTGTAAGAGTGGACAGATGCCTTACTACGCGTACGATAAGCGCGATACCGATTAGAATCACTCGGATCAACAATAATAGCGTAATAATGACGACGACACATTTTTTGGACGTGTTGCGAAACGTCGCGTCAATGTCCTGAACTTTTTCCCTGTTTAAAATCGACAAAATTGCATAAATTCCCAATTGAAACAGAATTCTATATGCTTATACAATCGTCGTATCGTAAATATTCCTCCGTTATCGAGTCGCGCGAATCGAACTTATTTTTAACGCGAAAATTGTAGTTTGCGCGTTAAAAATAAAAGAAAGAAAAATATTATGTTTAATATTTAATATCGATGTGACCCGTCGAACAATAGGCTCGCAAAGACTCGGCGAGCGCTGGTTACGCCCGTGCACTCTCCCGCGACCGTCGTCCGTCGTTCGTCGTTCGTCGCCCCCCTTCAGCCCCCGACGCTGGATCGACGATGGGCCGCCGTAGCCGTAGCGAGTGCGAGTATACGCCACGCGCGAGCCAGGCTGCGCCGACCACGCCGACAGCCTCCACGTGCTGCCGAGCGGCGCACTCGACTCAGCCGCAAATTGTAGGTCGCCGCCGTCGGTTTGCGAAGAACGGGCGGTGGGGCAGGACGGGTGGGAACGGTGACGCTAGAGGAAGACAGAGAGGAGAGGGAAAGGTGCGGATCTCCGCGCGCTCGTGCGTGCGCGCCTGGTCGTGATCGTTCGGCGCGGCCGAGGCCGAGGAGGTAAACATTGTACAGTACGATTGACCGGCCCCGAGGCGGCGGGTCTTTCGCTTTTCCTTCCTGCCTCTTGCCCGTCTCTTTCGAGAAGATTTAATCTCTTTTTCTCGTCGAGAGTTTCGTTTCGCCAATTTTTTCCACGATTATTGGTTTAAAATCTCGCGAAGATCTCTCTCACCGCTAAACGCTGCCGCGCTTCATTTCTTTGGACGTCGCCGAGGAAGAGGTGAGGTGAGGATGACACCGTGATAACCAGCGCGTCAATTCTGGATTACGCTCAAACACAAACGTGGCGTGCAGGTGAGTACTTTCAACGTTTTTTCATCGAGACATTTAACTTTGTATCTTTTATCATTTCTTATTTTTTTATCTTTTTCTTCCCAATTGTTCGAGAGATGACAGATTCTTCGATTCGATTCTTTCAATCATTCGCGGACTTACATTTCCTTTCTTCACAAATTTTTACGAATCCTCCGACTATTTTTAATTTCCACGAATCTTTATCTATATAAGGTCCTCGGATCCACGACCTCATTTTTTTTTAATTTATCAATGAGGCAGTTTCCGTTAAATTGAACGAAACGAGGCATTTTTTACGTGTTTTTAGAGTTATTCTTGCCATTTTGATATCGACTTTTAAACAATAGTAACAAGGTAATTTTCTCGCGATAAAGCACGCCGAAGAAAACGTAAAGTGATCTCTTAGTAACGTTCGTTTTTTTCATAAAGCGAACTGATTGTCATCAGTTTCCCAAATTAAAATCGCGAATCATATATTCGGTTACTGATGTGGCTCTTGTTTTATTATCTTTTTTAATCGAGAAAGAAACATTCTTTAATTGAATACACATAATCATCGCAAAAATGTAATTTGTTTAAAACAATATATATAAATATTTGTTTGAAATTTAGCAAATTATTAAAATTAAGAAACCTTTCAAAATTCCTTATTCTTCGAAAATTCTTAAAAGAAATAAAACATTTTTTGCTCTAAATGTTTTTTCAATAAAATTTAATGGTTGTTTTTTAAATGTACTTTTCAAAAAAAGATAAAATGGTACATTAGTTATTGCATATGCGATGTTTAACATTTAATCGTTATAGTTTAGGAGCGTTACAGATACTTATTTGATTCTACATATAATAATATTATATATATATATATATATATATATATATATATATATATATATATATATCT